TTCTTAGTATGATCATAATTTCCGACTTATCTTTTATCACTCTTTGTCTTCCGAATTGATCGCTCTGCGAATATTAGGTGTAGCCTCGCTGCATTTCGCGCGGACGAGCGATGGCGCGTGGCAGCGCATGCACTCTCGATCACGTATGTCCTCGGGTATATCTTTCGCGCTTTCTGACGTGCGCGTCCCGGTGGGAAGTGGGAAAATAAATAAATGACGAGCGATTCCCGCGGGTGGCTGCTAGCCCGGACGAGGCAAGGAGCAATTTCTGTGTAGATAGCGCGAGAATTATGGCCCCTCGCGAGGCGACGGAGGTTTAAGCCCTCCCCGGGTGTTCCTAGCCTTACAACTCCGTAATTTTTACCCTCCGAGAAGTTAAGAGTAATTTACTAGCTCCACGTAGGCGTTATTCGAGAACGTTCTCCTCGAGAACGAAGGCCCCGCCGCTGAGCGTTTCGGTAGCTTCGCCCTTGTTAATTGTCTACCTCTGATGAACTTGATTTTCAGCGGGGGGACAGGACATTGTGGTAAGATAGATGTCGGCAATATCGCAACAAAAATAGCTATTCGTTCCCGGCTCTTGTTTAATTGTGGCTGATAGTCAGCAAACTTTTGAAGAATTAATACAATAAGCGAGTGAAGTTTGATAATGATATGGTAAATGACATGGTAACGTTTAAGTAGGTAGAGGAGTTTAATTAACGCGATGTAACGCATGATAACCTAAATAGTTATTTCTTTGAAACAATCAATTTACACAAGGTAGATATTCTATAATCTAAGAAAGTTATTCAGTTAAGACTTTCCTGTACTATTTCTAATCAGATATTTAAATCTGCTGTGTGTGTGTATGTAAAATGGAATTTTTCTGTCTTATAACGGATGATAAAATTTTGGAACTTGTGCAATAAGCTCTGCGTAAGTTTTTGCATTTTATAATCGAACTTTGCACCATCCATTCTTGATTCTCCTTGTTACTATACACTATACATAACGTTCAAGAATAATGACGCAATGTAATACCGTTTTGGAGTTTATTGTTAAATCTGCTTTGACGCACGCGAGCAAGAGAAGATAACACGAGACTTTAAACTGCATATTCTTGAAGTTGCTCTTTATGGAGCTTCGCGAAAGCTTGTACAGGATAACACGAAAGAAGAAAGGGATATAACTCGTATCTAACTTTACTATACTTAAGCTTAAATAACTAGAGAATATAAATAATAATATAAATTATAATAATTATCTGACGGGTTTTAGGAAATATTAATAGCAAATATTCTCTTTGTCTTAATATTGAGCAATTGATCGTTAGCAGTTTTTGCAAACTTTCAATAGAAACTTCACTAAATTTATCTTGGTATCATGGAGAAACGAGTTCTATTTTAACGCAACATTTGACATTAATAGAGTGATAAAAGTTTTTGAACAAAATTATATATATCTGAGGAACCACACTTGATGGTTGTAATAGATAATAAGTTGCAAGTTTTCATCTATAACACGACTTTTCTTATATAATTACATAAATGACACATGAATGACAAATGCTAAAAATATATATTTTTCCATTATAAAAAGTATAATTTTTACGTTAATATTATTTGTGTATTTTTACATACATTTTCTAGTGTAGTCTGATATGTGTCACCAATCTGTCGCTTTTAAAAGCAAACATTGTTTCTTAATTTTCTGGAAGTTTTTTATGCCCAGTTTTCTCATTTAATTTTCTGAACGGATGTCAGAAGAACCCTTATACGGAGGCTGTTCAAAGATTTGATTCCACACATTATATTTCCGCAATATTAATTTAGCGAGAAGGAAAGGGAAGGGAGAAGAAAAAGTACTGTCGACGCCATTAATTCGATTGGACAAGAGCATTTCGTTTCGGATCACAGGCCTCGGGGATCCATTATGTATTAGCAGGATCGATTCGGTCTGCGACCGGCAAGATTAAGGGCAAAGACGATCGCAAGAAGCCGCCGACTCAGCCACGAAAATCCCTAACATAATTTTCTCCATACGAGTTTCAAATCTCCCGAGATAATGCGATGTTGCGGCTCGGTGCACGAATATACAGTTTGTAGGAACACAACTTACGGGGAAGTTTACAAATATTTCTCTCTGTGTCGTTGTCTCACATGCCAAAGATTACCCGGAAAATCGAGGATTTAAATGGAAAGGAATGAAATTTAGATATGAAGAGCTGCGTGTTAAAATGTGTTATATCTTAAAAAAAAGGAAGAAAAGAAAGAAGATATTTTTTTAAATGACATATTTACATTTGTACCGTTCATTAATTTTAGTATTAAACATTACACGATTAGATGGAATTGAACATAATAAATTACGTAATAAATTAATGTTTGACGTTTAGTTTAAACAGTCGATTGCGTCACACTTTTATTCTATCGACGCTAAGCGGATATCGCTCTTATGACCATTCACAATCAGTTATACATTGTCATACCCGTCGTTTGTATTCGTCAAGCGAAACGAAGAGATTGGATAAGAAATATTGAAGAGGTTTATGAAATATTCAGTGAAACGTAGTAGAACGACGAATGGACGAATATCTGGCGGTTGTTCCGTGAAAATCGGATTGCGATTGTTAGGATTAATCGAATCTTTCGCAAACGGCGTAATTATCATTAACGGTGGGCCAACTGAGACCCGAGATCGAGTCCACGACGCGTTTAAAGCGCAGAACGACCTGAACGATCGTTTCACTTCTTTTAGCACTCGTAGCTTCTTCAATCTGCCGGTAACGTCTAAAAAGCTGAAATTGTGGCCAAGTGGTAGTGGTGATGTAGGAAGCGCGCTTCCACGAGACAAAGCCGGATTGTTCCGCCGCGCGCGGAGGAAGAGGCGGAACGATCCTGGGCTTCCTGCACACTGAAACCCACTGCCTCCTCTTCCTCCTCCTCTTCGCCCTGCTGCCTTTACCGCGACGTTCGTAGCGAAAGCTTGTTATATTTAAGCCGAGAAATATATACACGTGTACGCGCCAGTTAACACGACTGTTACACGTGACTTGGTTGGCGCATTCGCCACGGTACGTTGCGTGTGTTGGTATTGCGAATTAAATTATTTTCATCGTCATATATATGTACGTATAATGCACATACGCACACACACACATATATGTGTGTACCTGGCGGGGCATAATGCGGCCAATTTTCGTGCCGCCGAATTCCGACGTGGCGCAATTTAGCCGCAGGAACGTTCTCAAATGTGGTGCGCGATATGGCGCGCTTCGGTCTGACATATGCAATTTAAAGAGAACTCATTTCTTAATGCGGTATCAAGTGGCAATGATACGCTAACTAACAATGAGCGAAACTTTTTATTGGAATTTCTTTGTTAATCGAATTTCCAATTTAGCAATTCAAGAATGCTTTGAAAAGAGGAAGATTAACGAATTTGAATACTTCTTATGTAAATCAATTTAATATCAACATTCTAATATCAATCTAGTAAAGTCCTTTACTATGTAGTTCTTTTTTACCTTTCTTCTGTAGGTGCAGATTTTGTAGATATTTTAATAAAACTATCAAGGAACGCACGCGATTTTCGTAATACATTTCCGTATATAGAAACGGATATAAATCTCACGGAATAACAGGAAACGGCCGGAAGTAGAAGTAATAGAGAACAGACTGAGTCTCAAATGTCGCGGTTCAAACCGCGGGCAAAAACCATTGGGAAAGAAATGGCTGTAAAGTCGGTCACGTTTTGACTGGAAGAATTCTTCACGTGATTTCTTTGTGAAAGTAATTCGTCTGCATCTGCGGCTTCGTTCCCTCCACTTAGAGCTTACCCGAAGCTTTCACCTTATTTTATTAGAGAGACCCAATTCGTGTTCTTCTCGTGAACCTTCCACGAAGCAATCCTTAAAGTTTCGTTATCTTTATACTCGTAAAAAAATCTTTTCTTCGTTGGATTGATCTTACAACGTAGTTTTGGCCGTTAAAAATTGTCAAACAAATGCAATTAAAACGACCTGTTTGAAATGGCGAATTGAATATTCTGTTTTACGAAACAAAAAAAAGTGTGCAAGTTGAAACTTGCACATTGCTTCCTCATAGTTATTAAGTGTTTATTTTTTTCAATGTATAATTTTCAGTATTTATTTGTTTTGGCTTCCTCATAGAGGAAGCTTTGTGTGCGAAGGTTTCTACTTAAACACTTAAAAACTCTAATGAAGCAATGTGCAGGTTTCTACTCGCACACTTAACTCTTTAGGAGCCTGTATACATAATTATGTACCCACACTTAAGAACTCTAAGGAAGCAATGTCCAAGTTTCAACTTGCACACTTAATAACTCTGTAAAAATAATCAACCGAATTTAAATTTTAAATATATGAAATAGGGGTAGAAAAGACTGAGTAATTTAATAGAATTATTAAAAATTGTTAATATTAAGGGGGTTACCGATTTCTTTTAAAAAAATGTACGTGCCAAAACATTTTTTTAAAAGAAATGGGTAACCCCTGTAATATTAACTATTTTTAATAATTCTATTAAATTACTCAGTCTTTTCTACCCCTATTTCATATATTTAAAATTTAAATTCGGTTGATTAGTTTTGAAGTTATGGATTTTTTAGTAAATTGTGCACATACATACATACATACATACAGACATTTTTTTTTGGGCAATATTTTGACGTTTTACAACAATCTGAAGATATTAACGTCAAAAACTATAAAACCAATTTTTTCTTTAGTTTTTTCTACCCCTATTTCATATATAATTAATTTAAATTTGGTTGATTAAACCCAAGATTATACGCAATCAAAAGTTAATATACGAATTTACGAAAACAAAGCTTCCTCTATGAGGAAGCAATAATACATCTCTAACTTATATAAACGCAAACAACTTGTATTAGTAGTAAAAAATGGAAGAATATTAGCGGAAGAGTTGTGAAGTGGGATAAGAAAACGTGGAGGAGCGCTCATGATAAAGGGAGTATCATAAATATATACACTGCGATTATTGTAAATATCATTTATTGGACTCTTAGGCATCATTGGGTACAACGATTACACCACGTTGCTTACTTGTAACACCTTAGCGATCTGAAAAAAAACTCGGGTTCGTCAAAGTCGACTAAATTAACATGAAGACATCAGGTATGTTTATTTCGTATCTATAGATAGTACCGACTGCAGTCACGCGCGCGGGTAAGACATTACCGGCGACAAAGATTTAGCATTAGTCGTCGGTAAGCCGAGTACAAATTCTATTTTTACAAAAATTAGGAACCACCGAATTTACGAAAAAGTTACCTTAAGGATCCTCGAAAGAAGCGAAGAATTGATTGGAACGGGATCGCTACGCCGCGCTACGTTCCATTCCCAATCGGATAGATCAAAGTATCGCAAAGACAACAATGTCCATGTTTCTCACGATGAGCTACAGCTAAATTCAATTTAGGACGTTCACAGGACATAGTGTACTTTATTGTAATGGTTCTCGTTGAAACGCTCGTAAAACGCAAAGCGACTACCGCCGCTTTGCTCCTCGGCCTCAATCAACGAAACGAGCATTGTGATCGTGCGAACGAGATTCGGGGGGGAAGGCGAACGAGAACTTATGGCTAAATAAAACTTTATAAAAATATATCAACGAATAATAAATATATCTCTAACAGCGTCACTGTATAATTCGTCGTGTACGGGCGTACGATAGCCTACGCATTTACAGTCACTATATACATACTATCAAACTCTACTTATTCTAAATAATATACAACAATTTATTTTAGTCGCCCCTATCTTTGGGAATATTTGACGTTGCACAATTAAGTTTCTCTCGTCCGGTAGCGTGTCCATATACTTTCGTACAGGAGACCGCGTATCCCTCGTTAAAATTTGTAATTATCTTTTTATTCTATTACGTCACACCTTCCTGCCGGCTCATACTTTATTATTTCGTTATTATTACGAGCAGTATCGCTCGTCGTATTTGCGTCACGGATTTGTTTCGCAATATTAATACATTACAGTTCGGCACAAAGTCGATCCATCCGAGTTCGTTCGACCGCAATTTAACTGTATCTTGTTTTTTTCATTCGCGAAAAATTCGCCAGCGGCAAGAAAGAAAGGGGGGAAAAAAGAAAAGAATTGGTAACCGTTTCGTTCGAATCTCTACACGCGGAAACACCGTTCCACAATTCGCAAACATCGGCTTATTTATTTATTACCTATACAAGTATATACATGTATGGCGAATCGCGCGTATGTGCGGTACACGCGCGCACGGATTCATAGTTTACAAATTTTCACTCTATGTAAATACGTATCCCGTCGCCCGCGCGATCCCTTCCTTTCCCTTCTATTCCTCTCTCCAATCTTTCCTCCACTATTCTCACATATAAGGCCAGAGAAATCGAATTTTAATCGTGTCTCGATCACACGGGGACTCGTTCGTGCGGACGCGAGCTTGCCTAAGGTTTTACACACGACGACGGCAGCGGTCCGTGCGCTTTCGCGCGATCGTACATTCGTAAACGCGTCTTTCAGAATCGCGTTCCGGAGTAGAACAGAAGAGGACCGATCACGAGATCCGAGGAACACACCGAGGCCGTAATAATCCGACCCGAAGGCGCGTCAGCAGAGCTTCCATCCGTGGTTTCATTGTATTCGTGTAACGTCGTAGACACGCAAGTGTCGCGTCGCGGCATGTCGAGCAAATTGTGCGTCTCGTTGACGCGAGAATCGCGCGGGGGGAAATTCTTTCGGAGAAAGAATTTCGACGTTATATACAAAGAAGCTTCCCTTTTTTCCTCTCGCCATTGGGAAAGCTGACGTACGAGCTTTCCGTATCTCTAGGAATTTTGCCAAAGTTTCTTCCGTCTAAATCTCCATTGGGCATGTCGTCTCAGCGACGGTGTTCCCGCAGGATCGCCTGCAGGGTCAAACAGAGCAGAAGATACGTGATACTCGCCGATCGGATGTGGGCATGACTGTAACCGGAAGCGTGCGTCACGTTGAGTAGAACGGAAGCGTCGGCGATCCCTGCCGATGAACGGACGAGCAACAACCATTCTCCCGCGTGGGACCACTGAATCGTCTCGAAACGCAGGGTCGTCCTGTAACATGACTCCGTGCCGCCGTCCTGTAAAAGAGTAAAATGGAACATGAATAATTGCTCTTTATCGCGCGCGTGTCTTCCATATCTAACCAAGAAAGCTCAAGGCAGTGAAGAATTTCAGCGCTCCTTTCAACGTGTTAATATGCAAAGAAATTGGGGCAACGAGATATATTATTCATTTGATATTCATATTTAAATAACCGTTGTTTTGATTATCAAAACGGTTTTCTGTTTCTCTTTTATGAAATTTATTTACATCAAAAATTAAAATTCTATTAAAAAAGATACGCATAAAAACACATTATAATATTAATATAAATTTAAATAAATTTATATGATTTTTTTAAACATTGCCATTGAAAGTGAACGAGCTTTTATTATATTTTTTAATTTATTAAGTACGACATTTTTATGATTATATACATTTTACAGGATAAAAGCAGCCTCTTCCTGTTAACTGAAATTCTTATTTGCCGTCACGAGTTGCAGGGAACGAACTCGCTTGAGGTTGACCCATATCGAGCTGCTTTGTTCTCTGATAAGATGTCAAGCGAGACGCTATAGAGAGAATTCCGAAAGTTTTCTTTAACAAGCTAAGGTAGGGTAACGAGCTAAGGTAAAATGGCATCTACAATTCACAGTGACGGTATACCAAGCTCGTGCTCGCGAAGATCTTTATGAAGGACGTTTTTATGGCGCTTTCATGGCGTTTTAAACTATTGAGATCTGGTTGCCGCGGGTCATGCTCCAGACTAAGACGTTTTTATCGCATAATGCTCATTAACTTGCGATTCGATAACGTCCATCCAGTCGTCCTCTTATCGGACATGGTCTCTTTCTCTTTCGTTCTCTCTTTACGATTAAACTTTCACGTAAAACTTCCGGCGAGAGGAAACTGGGAACTTCCGGCGTCGTTCTACGTTCTCGCTTCAATTATCCATCTTACCTTCGACTGCTTCTTCTTAGACCCCCACCCCACCCTCTCGGTCTTCTTCATCTTTCATCCCCTTAAAATACGTTTTATTACTTTCCGCATTAGTACCTATAATGACTCCTTTTTCTCTGACTTCGTTTCTTTGTTCATGGAAAAATCAATCGTATTAAGCCGATCATAGGTTCACGGAACTTCCGGTTTATGGGATAATTGACCCTAATAAGAGAGCAATACTGATGGTTTGTACGAAACGATGAAAAAGAGGTAAAATTTTCTCTTGATAAGTATTGATACGACTAAAGATTTATTAACCTTTTCTTTATCATTAGATGTAGCTAATCGGCTATTGTCCCAGGTTTTTGTTGCCCGAGTTCTCATTTTATATTTTGTCTTTAAAGACACATATAAAAACGTTCCAAGATATTGACCTTTTTAGTCGCGATAAACATTAAATTTTGATTTAATTTTAACATGTATGTTTTATAAATATAAGATATATCTAACATATTGCTATGTAAGTTAAATTGAAAAAAAGCTTAAGAAAAACAAATTAATTCTTCAAGTATCTTATTTTAATATAAATGTTTTAAATTTGCACTGGACATCTGGAATTACTTAGTAGGTAATATATTTGTATATATATTTGGTCAAAATATTATGTATCTCTAACTGTTGCATGAATATCTGTGATTTGACATGATTATTTGGTGATGAAAAGAGAAAGATACATGCTAAGATATAAAATATTTATTCATTAACTTTTAAATTAAACAGGACATCGTAAAATATCGTGTACTATTGTACTGGGTATTTTTCCGTTATTGCGACACTGGAGGGACATAATATTACGTGACACTTTTGCTTTCCATCTTATTTTAGCATACAACTAGAACGCGTATAGTGGAATACTTCTCCGCTTTGGTCGCATAGAGCCGATCGAATGTACACGACGTTATTGTGACTTTTTAATATTGGAGGCAACGGAGTTTCCCTCGCATTCACTTTATCGATAACGCGAACGGGGAAGAATACGTAATTGAATCACAGACTCGTGCGCTGTTCGTTGGCAAAACTGATGTCGTCTTACGGCGGTATATTTCATCGTTGCGATTCGTAACAGACGGAGGAGTCGTCGTTGTCGTCGTTGCAGGGGGTCCGGCGAGTTTTTCGTATGCAAGGAATCGGCAGTTTCTTGCTCCATTTCACCCCGCGTTTCAGCCTCCCACTGCCCTTCGACCACCATCCTTTTCGGCACAACGGAGACCCGTCGACCCGTTCTTTTTGTATCCTTTATTCACGAGCTTCCCCTGCATCATGCCATCATCCCACCTTCCTTTTTCGCACCCCTCTTTGCGAATCATCTCGCGTCTCGCTCGCTGCGTTTCCTCCCCGTCTTCCTCTTCTTGTTGCTCTCATCTTATTCCATCTCCTTGCATTTCTCTGTCTTTTCTACCACGCACCATACATATATCTGTCCTTTTTACTACGCTATCATGTTAGCTTTCCTCATCTTCTCTCTCTCTCTCTCTCTCTCTCTCTCTCTCTCTCTCTCTCTCTCT